CTAAACCCTGACCTAAACCCTAAACTTTTGCCCAAACCCTAACTAGACTGCACATCCCAATACTCTTAAAGCCCCGTGAAACCCAGTCAACAGCCATCGCTTCCAGCGGAGGCCTAGCTGGTCCTCTCCCCCTGCATGGGGTCAGCTAGCTTTTGCATGGCTCCCCTTTTGCTCTGCCGCACTTGCTCCCCTTGTGCACTGCAGCACTCCGGTCCAGTGCTGGGTCTTATTTTGCAACGGGCGTCCTCCGACCCCCCCCCCCCCCCCACGGTCGGGTCATCCCCCCGCTACCATTCGCGACAGGTGAGACCCTAACAGCCCTTTTACTTAGCGGCTGGTGGGACATAGCAGATAGGTATTGGATACAAATAGAAGTTCCCAAAGGAAAAGCCTTGAACTGTCATTTACAAACCCAGCTTATCCTCTCTGACTCTTAAGTCCACAGCTTCGCCAGTGCACCCCCAGAGGCGCCTCAATTCCCTACAACCCAAACTTACCACCCACAGCGGGCCGAGAAGACCCGAGGCCTCTTGATTGGGCTATGTACCCCAAATAATTCTAACAGCCCGCAATCAAGGAATATTCACCAGATCACGATGCGATGCAGTCTACGATCTAGGCTAGAGGTTTGAGCAATGCATTAAAAGAAGGTCCCGCAATTCTTCAAGCAATGTTCCTTTGAATTTGATTCAGCTACACCAAGCCCCGGAAAGGTAAACCCAACAACAAACCCTAAACTCCAACCCCTAGACGCAAAAAAAACCCAAACCTTGAATCCTAAACCCTCAACCCTCAACCCTAAACCCTAAACCCCCTCAACCCCTGTTTTGGGAGTCGTCCCATCGCTCCTGGACGCCCACGCGCCAGCGCTTGAGGCCCAGCGGGCCGAGTTCGTGCGCCTCCACTGTGTCGCGGAAGAAATCCTGCCAGGGCCCTTGTTAAATTTTGAGGTTTAGGGTTTAGGGTTTAGGATTCAAGGGTTTGGGGTTTTGGGTTTTGGGGCTTTGTTTTGACGGCCTTCTTGGTGTCTGCAGCAGTGTCCATTACCTCCTTAGGGTTCAGGGTATAGGGGTTAAGGCTATTTTGAAGCTTCTCGATGAAACTGATCAAGGGTTTACGATTGGCTGGGCGAGTTTGTAGACGGTTGGGGTTATTGGTGAACAGGATATGCATATTGTCGGTTGTTGGGATGGATATCTTTGTAAAGCAGAACACCCGATATTGCAAAACTCAAAAGCTCAACAGCTCAAAAAGAGCTGAACCCTTATAGAACCCTACTACAAGCTGTGTAGAACGCCTACAAGGAATCCTATGGGACTCTCATGGTGTAGGCCCAACTCGCCTGCGCCCAGCTGCCGCCCTTGGCCAAGATCACGCCCCCATTGATCCTGATCCCAAGGCTTTGGCTTTAGGGTTTTTCCTGGTATGGGGTACGGGGTGTGGGGGTTGAGTTTCGGGAGCAGGGTTTGGGTTTGGGGTTGAGGGTTTAGGGTTTACGGTGTGGGGTTCATTTAGGGTTGAGAGTTTGGCTTTCAGTGCTGAGGGTTTCGAGTTCAAGGTTGAGGAGTCAGGGCTCAGGGTTTAAGATGACTTGGGCTAAGAACCAGCAGCGTGTTTATCTACCCCACCCACACCCTTACCGGATCTGAACCCTGCAGCCAAAGCCTTAGACCCTGCAAAAACCGGGCAGAGCAGGGCAGGGCAGAAGAATCTCCACGAAGCTTTGCTGCATCTCCACACGAGTTTGATGAATCCCGGGCGTGATGGCTGAAATATTAGCAGAGATTCCTCAAATATCTTAGTTGAGACTGAAAAGTCGGCTAAAATATGAGAGGCTTAAACATATAATTTAGGGGCTTAGGAGGAAGCTCTGCAGGGGGTCCGGGATCGGCAGCTACCCGGCGACGGGAGTCTTTGAGAGGTGGGATCCTTTTGGGGTTCAGGCTTCAGTCTCACCACTACTCCCAAGCCGAAGCCAACGAAGCGAAACCTCACAAAATCTCGGCGGGGGCGCATTGCAACCGCTGTAGGGCCTTTAGCGTTTAGGATTCAGGGTTCAGGGAGGGTTTTGGGCTGAGGATTGAAGAGCTTTTTGGCCCCCTTCCCCAAGCCAGGGGCCTCCCTGCCCCATGGAGAAGCCAGTCTTCATCCGTGAAGAGCACATCTCCTTGGAAGCTGAGGTGAGCTCTGAAAGACGCAACTGGCCCCAAAGTCTCGAAGACCCCCGAAAGCCTCCGAGACTCCGGAAACCTGAAACCCTGAACCCCTACAGAAATGAACCCTTGAACACAAGAGCATCAAGATCAGAACTAGCAAATCCAAAACCATCCTCAGGTGGTTGTCTCAACGAGTGTTTCTCCAGGCAATGAAGCAAAAAAACCGTTTAAGCGCTCGGAAGAACCCAAGCTGTCCTACACTGGCCTGCTGCTGAGGAACCTGACAAAAGCTACTATAACACGGAAACCATAACTATTTACCACCTATGTGTATATGTGTATATACATATATATATATATATCTTTTATCTATTTATTCATTTTTGCATATTAAATATATATATATATACATACATACATACATACATACATACCTACCTACCTACCTACCTACCTACCTACATACATACATACATACATACATACATATCTCTCTCTCGCCTTTATGGTAACTTAGATTCTCCCTTAGCAGCAACCCAGTAAACCCTCGACTTCGCGCCGAGCTCGGGTCTTTCGCCTTGAGACTTCAGCACTCCACGGTTTCGGCTTGTCGGGGTTTTAGGGTTTTGGGCTGGTGGGTTTAGGCTTTAGGGTTTCCGGTTTAGGGTTTAGGGTTTAGGGTTTCCGGTTTAGGGTTTAGGGTTTCCGGTTTAGGGTTTAGGGTTTCCGATTTAGGGTTTAGTTTTTAGTCGCCGAAGCTCAGAATATGTCTGGCCTGGGATGTATGTTGTCGTCGAGTCTCAAGGCGTGAGATGGCCCCTCAGAAGAAGGGCATTTGGTTGTCAGTTCGTCAGCCTTTGGAAGCTAATGCCCGGAGCTGTTCTGAACGGAGAACCTCGAATGAAGGAAAGCGGCGGCCCTCCTTGTCGAGCATCGCGGCCATGTCCCCCAAGACATTGCGCTCGTGACGGGTGATGGCAGCATCTGCATCCTGGGATCGGCAGCCCGACCCCGACGTTGAACCCTGAACGCCGATGTCATGTGAGGCTCTCTCAAATCAGGTTGAATGATAATAACAACAATGACAATAACAGCAACAATGATAACAACAATATGAATAAGGAGTGTCTCAGTAACAATAATCAGCATGATAATGATAATCATATGAATAATATGCAGAATATGAACTGCGAATATTCATAATATGAACAATAAAATAATTTAATTAATAATAAGAAGAAGAATTATAATAATGATGATAATAATAGTAATATCCATTTCATCATCATTTCACCATCATCATATATCATCATCATAATATGACGAATAAAAATAATAATAATAACAATAACAATAATAATAATAATAGTAATAGTAATAGTAATACGAAGGTTCTAGGCCCCAAGGTCGAGGTCCTTGGTCCTTCGGGCTCCTTCCCAGCCCTTTGAGGCCCGGGCCAGGAGCAGGACATGGCTGAAGTTCTGCGGGCTCAGGAGGTACTCCTGGGCCCAAGACGCCCCAGAAAATTCCCGGGCTCGAAGCAGAAAGCTAGAGGGTTTGGGGCCTTCAGGGCCCTTAGGGCGTAGGGTTTAGGGTCCGAAACATATAAAGTTGAAAGACAGATTGATACGAGTACAGCTGCCTTCACGCACGCCCAGTGGTAGCGATGCTGCTCTAGCATGCAATAGCTCTGCACGTACAGGCATACATGCGTTCATGCACATGCCTGCATAGCACGCACATCCATACGTACATACATACCTATCCACCCACCCTCCCACCCCGACCTACCTACCTACCTACCTACCTACCTACCTACCTACCTACTTACCTACCGAACTGCCTACCGAACTACCTACATACCTGCATGAACACCTACATCTAAAGATACATACTTACTTAAAGTACGTACATGCATGCATATGTACTACGATCCTGACAGCCATAGCCGGCAACAAGCAAGGTCCTGCAGCATGCGGTGCTTCTCCCAATTGAAATTCTCACGCTCGTTCCGCTTCGTGCATTCCTGCGGGCTGCATCTCTCATGCGATTCGATCCAGGGTGTAGGACTTCGGACTTAGTTGATCGCAGGTTTCAGGGCCAGTCCAGATATGGCAGCAGCGTTGCTCCATGCCACATGCAACACGCAGCTTCTCTGGTAACAGACTGACAGCAGCCTTAAATCCCCCCCGCCCAAACAGCAAATCCGAAATCCTACACTTCAAGCCACGCCCCGAAAGCCCAAATCTAGAGAAAATTCTGCATCACTGCAGAATCTCGGAAGTCTCTCCTTCTCGGTAAGCTCTCCGCACTGCTGCCGCTGCCATGCCTGCAGCTGCGGCTTGCTCGGCAGCCACCTGACGGCTACTGGGCTATGAGAGTTTCGGGTTTCAGCGGTGTGGAGGGCGGGGGGGGTCCGGTTCAGGGCCGAGGTTCGGGCTTGCTCTGGAAGAAGCCTGGCCCGCGGGCCAAGGAGTCTGGGGGGTCGAGGAGCTCCTAGTCTTAGCACGGTTTAGGGCCTAGGCTCATAGGTATTATAGGGCTTCGGGATACTTTGGGAATAGGGCTCAGGATGGCTCAGGGTTTAGGGTTAAACATGCACCAAAGTCACGGTCTCGTGGTCTTTTTTGGAGGAGCGCTCGGGCCTGATCACGAGGCACAGGCCGTGCTTCCGGGCGTGGTGCCGGTTTGTGGCGAGGATAGCACGCAACCTGGGGAGATCTGGGGCCTTTCAATTGGATGCTCGGGGTTCGCTTTGTGATTCTCCACACTCGGGGGTTGGCTGTAGCACTGAGGCCTCAGAGCTTTGATGACGCTCGCTCGTGGGTTGTTAGGATCTTCGAAGATGGTTCGCAGGCCCGTCCAACTTGAATGAATCCAGTCTAAAGAAACTTGCGTCTGCCGTCCTAATGCAGGACCTTCAGGGATAAGGCCACATCGTGCGACAATCAAAAAGAGGGAGTACTTGTAAATGCCCTCTCCTTGGAGCTTGGTGATAACGGGCAAAAGGCTTGTCGAGATCATCCTATCACTATGGCGGCTGGCCTGCTACTGCTACAATGTGCTACTGCTGCTACTCTTCCAGCTCGTCGTACACTCCCACCATGAGAGTACATCCACGGCCACGGTATAACAACCACAACAACAACGACGACTGCAACGACGACCACGACGATGACCACGACCACGACCACGACCAAGACCACGACGAGAACGACCACGACGATGATGACAGCAGGTCTTACTTTGGGCTGGTGATGAGGGGGATGATGTGTTTGGCTTTTGGCTTGTAGCACCAACAGTCTCAATCTCTTTGTTGGCGACATTCTCGGGATCATTACTTTTATTCGTGCTATGTCCCTTTCTTCCGTTCTTGCTACCCACACTATTACCATTGTTATTATCAACCTTTGCTGCCCTTATGTTTATAATGAAAGATATAGAGATACTCACAGCAACTGTTCGAATATCTTCGACAAGAAGAGAAGGGCAAGAAGAGGACGACTGCCGAATCAAAACCTACATGCACAAGCCTGCACCCTGACGAAAGCCTTCCTCGGGCATGAAACACACACAGAGAGACATAAATATATCCACACACACACACACACAGGCTCGTGCGCACGCGCGCTCGATTGTAAGCCCCGCTTGAGAGGCGAAGGTCCCCTGGAAGACCCAAAATCGGTACTGGCATCATCACAAATCCGAAAGACAGACTTGGCCTCTACAAGCACCGATTTCATTGGGATTCAAGATTCAGGGTTTTAGCTGCATGGTCAGGGGCGATCTGCTTATTCCCACAACATCCACACCTGTCACTTCATCTGCACTCTGACAAGATACATTTCTTGGCCATCCTCCGATATCTTCAATGAGCCCTCTTCCCACAACATCCACACCTGTCACTTCATCTGCACTCTGACAAGATACATTTCTTGGCCATCCTCCGATATCTTCAATGAGCCCTCCATCCCCAACACCAAACCATGGACACGTGGCCACCGGGGCCGCGCAGGGGCCGAGGAAGCGCCCCAGAGGGGCCCTGACAGGTGGACTCATGAGTTTAAACTGATGGTCTCACTGTAGGGGCATGGAGGGAGAAAGGGAGGCCGGTAGTTCTGGTTCTGCAAATAAGGGGGCCCCCCCTTCTGCATCAAACTTGTTATGGCTCTGTGCAGTCGAACGAATCTTCCAAACCTGCCGCATGCCTCTGCCCGTGCTTGCGTGTGTTTGTGTCTCTGGCCTTCCTTGGTTGAGGGACATTCCAGGAATTTGGGTGCGGGTGCCAGTGCACTGCTCCCTCCACTGCCCGCCTGCTTCCATAAAGACCGGCTGCACAATCAACATGCCTCCATGTGCCTCGCAAGTCTTCCAACATTCAACAAGCATCCAACGATTTCGGGCTTGGGATATCACGAAGTTGCAGTCCTGCAGCGGACTACGAAGCGAAGCCCAGTCAAGAGATGATTCTAAACGTCGGCACGTCCGGTTCTGCTTCTGGAGTCAAGGAAACCATTGAAGTGACGACCATTGAGCACCGTGAGCTGCCCTCCGCCCCTTTCTACCCTACCAGTTTTCGGGTTTTTGCAAGAACCGAACGTGGCTTGAGGCCGGAAATTATCAGTTGAAGCCTGGTCCGGCCTGAAGCCAACTCCGATGCAAGCAACAGGATATCCTCTTGGAATTTCCTCCTTGCTTACCCTAAGATGGGCTGATTCACCATCACCATCCTCCCCAGAGTAGATACCCTGTCTTCAGGCCGTGTAGCAATTCGTACAGCCATACACGTAACTGGGTAATGCCTGTTCGCATCCGTTTGTAGCACCTGAAATGCAAGCCTTACACGTGGTACATCCCAGAACCTCACTCCTAAAGCCTCACTCCTACGGCCTCCCTTCCGGCGCCTCCCGCCGCGCATCGACCACCAGGAGGTCCTCCCTGAGGAGCCAGGAAGGCCTGGGACCCTCGGCCTCGAGTCGGCTTTTTTAATTCGAGGGCCCTCTCACTTTGTTTCAGGCCTTTCTAGGGCCCTCTCACTGGGTTTCAGGGCTTCCTTTTTTGTGGTGAGGTTAGGTTTAGGGTTGAGGCCTTTCGGTTTAGGGTTTGGGGCTTAGGGGAACTTAGGGTTTGCAAGCGAGCTTCAGATTTTGGGGCGTTGGGGTCTCGCGCTCAGGTCTCAGGCTGGGTCTGGCTCGGGTCTTTCGGGAGTTTACATGTTCTGAAGGGTTTAGGGCCAGGGCTTTAGGGTTTTACGGTTTAGGGTTTAGGGTTTAGGCTGGCCGGCACGCATGAGACACGAAACTTGCTGCATCTCCAGCTCATCCTAACTCCCTGAAACCTTCAGCCGAAGAGCCCTACACTGGGCCCTGAGGAGCCCTCATCCTGCCTTGGGCAAACCTTCGCTGCCGGCGTTGAGGAGGTAGTCCGGGTGGAGCAGCAGAGACGCAGGCCTCGGATCCCATCACCGCCCATCAGAGAGAGGCAAAAACACATCGTAAGGAATATTCAGTGACATGTAAGGGGTTTTTCTCTAAGGTGCAAGGTATACTGCTGGTTGGAATTCCTGCAAGGACAGTATGATGATTTCACAGGGTGCGAACCCCGACCCTGATTGAAGTATTGCGACTGAGCCGTTGATTGATTCCCACCAAGCCTCAACGGACTTGTTCTCACATGTAGCCAGGCTTGTTGTAGAAAGTTTCAGGAGTGGGACCCTGGACTTCCATAGAGCTTCCAGCTGTACATTATGATGCGCCAGCTTGTACATCAGGGCTGTACTTTGGATTTTCGAAAATGTTTCTGTGTGATCGTGGCAACCTGGCACAGGCTCCTGTGCCCCCCATGCACACTCTTGCCAGTGGCAATCCCTGCTTCAAATCCTCAAGGACTCCCGCCACCGAAAGCTGCACCGAAATCGCCAGGAAGTGACTTGAGGGTCTTTGGTTTAGGGCATAGGGTGCCGTAAAATCCCCAGGCAAGGGGGCTCCGCGCGCTGCACAGGCCGCTCTACAGGAGCTCCCGCAAAGTCGAAGCTCAGGGCGCCTCAAGGCGATTCCCAACAAGTTCTGCTGTCTCGGAATGGGATCGCCTGCAAAACGGGGAGACCCTAAAGGCCCTAAACCCCTAAACTGGCCTGAAACTTCGACCCCCAAGCCCTCCTCGTCCCGCAAAAAGCCCCCAACGCTCGCAGCTCCTTTCAACTCACAGCCTCGGACTGACCCCACTGAAAGCAACCCTCAACATCCCCAACACCTCTATGGACCAGGCCAGCCGGAAAACTTGAAGCCCTGCAGAAATTCCTGGAACCGAGGAGATATTACCTGAACCAAGGCTTTTCGGCTATAAGTGACCGTAAGGGGACTGCCTCTCAGCATAGCCTGAAACAATGACCCACAATTCTTAAACAAACCACAACCCCGCAAAATATCCCTACAAGAACCACACATGATACAACGACTCATAAGTCGATCCCGACAAAGACCCTAAAGCCATAATAAGCCTACAACAAACACTGGAAAAAAAAACAGACAAATCTACCCACTTCGCTGTCCGACCCCGGAGCTTTTGGGCCTTGGAGCTCGGGTGGCTCACCTCAGGCACTGCTCAAACCCAAGGGGCTTTGGGGCTTTAGGGCTTAGTTTAGGGTTTGATTTAGGGTTTAGGGTTTAGGATTTAGGGTTTAGGGTTTAGGGGGCTCTATGGCATGGTACGGTTCACAAGTTTCAAGCGTGGGGATCTGGGCTTTCTCCACGTGGTGACTTGGGAGTCACTTTGGCAAGGACCTGCGCAGCTTGCAAGTCCGGGACCGAAAACCGACAACTGAATTGTAAGCCCTGGTAAGGCCCCGAAATTCAACCACGAACCCGAAAACCCCCAAAACTGCGATCCCCAAGGAGCAGAATTTCTGCATCCCCAAAGCTTGCCCGAGCAGCTGGGAATGGGCAGCCTCGACTCCGGCAGCCCATCCTGCAGGCTTCTGCATATAAGGGTTTAGGGTTTAGGGGTTTAGGGTTTAGGGTTTTAAGGATTCTGCATAAGGCTTCTGAAAGGATTCTATATGGGCTCTGCGATCCTAGATAGGTTCGGGAGGGTGCTCTAGGGCATTGGGGTGCCATAAAAACCCCTCTGGCAAGAGAATCCTAGCTAGGGCGCTTCGGAATCAGGACTTCACCGTCCTCCCTTCCCAATCCCAAACTTCTCAAGCCACGCTCCAACTTTCAAGCTCGGGCACCATCCGGGGCCAAGAGTCCCGATTCCCCTGAATACGTGAAGCTTCGAAGCAGGGTTTTGAGAGTCAAAGGTTAGGGCGGTTAGGGTGTAGAGTTTCGGGGCCCGTCCTGATACCAAACGCAGCCGTGGCAGGTTGTATCCGGCGGACGGTCTGCGAACGTCGCGCACAGTGCACGATCTGCAGCAGAGATCTGTGCGTGGTACAGCTCCTCGGCTGTCTGGGGTTGCGGTCCACGGGACTTCGGAGGTATGTATTCTGCATTTCAGCATTTCAACCTGAAAACCTGAAGCTCAAGCATCCGCCAGAACCGCTAGGCCCTAACCCTCACACATCCATACATTCCCAAGACCTCCACAGCGCATACCGATTCAAAGCACCCCTACAAACCCCGAAAAAAAACTGTCCTTGACCCTGAACCCTAAACCCCTAGCCCACTGTCCTTGTGGTTGTGCTGGAAGGCCGCCCGGGGATTCAGCGCAGGCCACTGGGCTTTGAACTTGGCCAGCGCCGCCGGCGCGCTGGGAACGTCGGAGAACCTGGGCTCCGGTCGGCGTAATCATCATAACAACTATAGTTAAGAACAAGAAGAAGAAGATAACCATAATAATACTGACAATAAGAATAACAATCCTATCAAAAATGGCAGCAACAACAAAAATAATGATCATAACAACAATGTTAGTAACAATAGGCTGGGTGTGACATCCGCGCATGGCTGTTGAGTCTAGGGTTTTAGGGCTGGGGGTTCGTAAGGTCCTCGCAGAGCTTTAGGGCTCAGGCTTCCTGGGGGTTGAGGGTTAGAGTTTGGTGGGCTTCGGAAGGGAGAACCTCGCCTTTTGGGTTGGGTTCGGGCGTTTCGGGGGCCAGTCATCTAGAGCCGTTCACTGTTGGGTCCTAGGGCTGCAGATGCCGGTGTCTACCCCGTGCAATGAAGACATGGACCCGCTTCGAATCTGCCTGGCAAACTAGCAGCTTCGCAGCTACTCCCTGAACCTTCCATCCCAAGTAATGAAGGCTTCCGGCTCGAACGCGCAAAAGGGTCCAAGCTACCTCAACACTCCACCTGGCAAAGTGCAAACCTTCACAACAAGGCTGAAAAAGCTCACCAGGCTGCTTCTGTGCGCTCTCCTGCCATGGGTACACGGTCCAACCTGCTGTCACAGTAGTCAGATGCCGTCTCGGCAGAGATAAAACGGAAGCATTGAAACGGCTCAGAAGCTAGAATCGAGGCCCCAGTCTTCGGAGACGAGGATTTGCCAAACTCCAGAGCCAAGGCTTTCACCCAAATCCGCATGACATCGGCTTTTTCTCATGAACCCCAAAGCACTTCACTTCTTTGGCCTTCAACTCACAAGACATGCTTGCTAAATCCTTGAAGATGGATTTCAATAGCCCGCTCTTCGAATGCCAGAAGCAACCTCCACAAAAGCCGCAAAAGGAGACAGACACCTGCAACGAGCACCCCAAGCCGAAGCCCACAGATCAATTCTCTTAAAAAAACCGTAAACTGAGCCCTATCTAAAGCCCTAAAAAGCCCCTAACCCTAAACCCTTATTAAAGCCACTTAAAACCCTAAATCCCTTCAGCCCTTACCAAAATCCCCCCACATTCCTCACAATTGTGGAGACCCAAGGCCTCGGGCTGCCAGGGCGACAGCCATGGCAAAGTCGCTGCTCATGGTCTTGTCCATGCCCTCCCAGAACGGGTTTGGGGTTTAGGGTTTTTGTTTTAAGTGTACGGTTTAGGGTTTAGGGTTTAGAGTTTAGGGGTGTAGGGCCTGGGCCTAGGCTCACCGTTTCGGGTTTGGGGCTTCGGCTTCGGAATTTCGGGCCTAGCAGGGACGGGGGCTGGCTTGTAGGGCTAAAGGTGTCGGAGTTGGGGCCCCTTGTGGGATGGCTTGTGCGCCGAAGCGAGGCCCCTGGGGGATGGCGTACGTAGCCGCACTTACAAGACCAATAACCATAAGTAAGGAACATTGACATATACACGAAAGGGACGACAAACAACGGACGGCAGACAAAGCACCCCTAGCGTCTTTTCCTCGTAATTGCACAAGAGTAGTGATAGAATGGGTGTCTGATCTCGTGATTCCAACGCTCAACGTGGGTTGTCAGCACATCTCTACAGTCTTTGTGCGCTTCTCTACAAGACTTTTGAACCTGTGGTGACGAGAACCGACAAGCGGAAGATGCCAACGCCTCGTGTTCCCGCAGGCGGCGCCAGTCGATGCCCCTGGGCTACACAGAAAGCTTGGATCCCAAAGGAGGTGAAGAAGAAAAGGACCCGGAAACATCCTCGAAGGCCTGCGCCGAGAAGGAACTCTTCTGAAAGAGGAACCGGAACAACCCTGGGCTGCCAGCACTCCAATCGGACTTTTCGGATCGGTGTTTCCAGATCCCGAACTTCGGTACTTCCAGATGCAGCTACGAGACCCTCAAGCTCAGAAGCCAAAGAGCGCACGTCGCCGAAGCAATAAACCCCTTGCTTTACACCTGATTTCATCCACCTGGCCACGAAGCCTCAACGCTTAAACCCCCGACCGTACCAAGCATGCAATACTGCAAGCACTTTAAACTCACCCTCACCTTCCCGGAAGCCCCAAACCACCATGTATGAGGCTCTCTGCTGACAAGCATCAGGACGTGCTCCGGCCGGAATGCATCCAACACTGCCTCCGTGCGATAATAAGAGCCTCTGCACGGAAGGAAAAAGTCGAAGAGACCTACAGCCACTGCCAGTACTTCTACTTTCAACTTACATCTGCTCCTGCTCCTACAACTGACTCGGACGACGACTCGGCGACTACGACTACTGGCTTCAGGCCACAATGGCTCCTCACCTCGGCACCTACAGGCAACTGCACCTCCGCAGAGACCAAAGTGTTCCCAGGTCACGTTGAAGTGCGGGTTCCTTCAAGGGGGGTATCTGTGGCTGTAAAGCAGGGGTTTGATCTTGAGCTGAGGGTTTAGCAAGACCTCCGGGCTCCGGCGTAGAATACTAACCCTGAACCCTAAACCCTCAACCTTACTAGTCTCTCTCCAGAAAGCATGGCATAGTTCAGGAGGCTGAGACACTAAAGCTCCTCCGTCTCAAGCCTTAAAGAAGCTGAAATCCTGCACGCCCTAAGCCCGAAATCCTAAGCTGCGCGTAAACTTTATCATGCAAGATCTCAACCTCAAACCCAACCTCAGTGTCATATACACACCCTGAACACCAAACCGAAGACATCTGAGTACTTGGCATGCACATCGGGAATTTCTAAAGTATCATAAGGGCTCTTTAAGCTGTTCCTACAAATGTGCTACAAGGGGTATTATGACGGTACATCCAAAAAAGAACCGCCCAGGTTCCTCGTGCGACCGAGGCGTTCCAAGTAGGCCTTGGTCTCCTTGCTCATAGTCGGGTTGAAGTTGTCGTAGACGCCCCCGGCCTAGGGACTCGGTTTAGGGTTTAGGGCTTAGGACTTAGGATTCAGGGTTTGGGGGTTTTGGGTTTAGGCTTTGGGGTTTAGTGTCTTTAGGGTTTGGGAGTTTAAAGGCTCAGAGGTTCAGAGTTGAGCGGATTTTTATGGGCTTGGGGCTGAGGGCCTCCGGCAGCATCGGAAGTGGGAACTTCGAGTTTAGGAAGGGCCTTGCACAAATTCCTGAACTTCCGGGGCTGGAGACTTTGGCAAACAATGGAAGAAACCCGCCAGGCGACAGACATGGAGGCGCATCTGCTACAAGTAATATTACAAAACCAATTTCTGGCAAAGCCGACGGCCCCAACTAAAGCAAAGTCTCTGACTTTAGGCCTTATAGAGTTTAGCGTTTAGGGTTTGGGGTTTAGGATGGCGCAGCTTCCGCCGGTCCTGAGCCTCTTTCGGAAGGACTGCCGAGGACCGGGCATCGTGCGGGAAGTCACCTTTGTGGCGCCGAAGGATTTTCACGTCTGGCTCCAGGTAGATGATGTACCTGGCACCCTTAATCCTAAACCCTAGACCCTAAATAACCCTACAACCGTAGTCTCTTTCGTTCATAGTTCTACAAGCCAGAGAGGTATGGGGGCTCCCTGAAGAAGTAGTAGTAGTAGCAGCAATAGTAGTAGCAGCAGCAGTAGTAGCAGTAGCAGCAACAGCAGCAGCAGCAGTAGCAGTAGTTGTAGCAGTAATAATAGTAGTCGCAGTCGTAGTCGTAGTCGGGACTGTCTACAGATACAGAGATACATACATGAATACAGTCATACATTTATGCAAAAAAAATTACACAGACACATGCTGCAGTCGCCCATTGCATCCGCATTGTGACAATGTATAGACATACGTACATATGGAAAGATATACATATGTGCGTAAATAAGAATATACATATACATAGTGTATATATATATACATATATATATAAGTATGGATAGATAGATATATATATATATATATAGTTATATAGATATAGAGTAGATATTGCCTTATTTCTCTGAAAGCAGTTGTTGTTACTGTGAGTATTATTACTATAGTGGTACCAAAAATTACGAGGATTAGGATGAAGAAAAGCAAGAGCACAAGCAAGAACAAGCAGAATCAAACAAATGCAAAGCGGAAGAGCGCGAGAGCTAAAGCGAAGCAGCGGACAAGCAGAGAAGCAGAAAAGCAGAGAAGCAGAAAAGCAAAGAGGCAGAAAAGCAAAAACAGAAGCAAAAACGAGAAAACGAGAAGCAAACACCGGCAGAAGGCCGAGAAGCGGAAAAGCAAAAGCGCGGAAGCAGGCAATGACAGCTCGTGCTCGGAAGTGAGGAATAGCAGAAGCACAAAAGCGTACGAGTACGAGACCCCCCAAGCCAAAAAAATAAACAGGCGCAAAAACTAAATTCCTGCAAAACATGGCCCTCCAAATACTAAACCCCTAAACTAGGTCGGAAGGCCTGGTGTTCACGAGCTCGGCGGCACGACGCATGCGTGCGAACCAGGAGTGGGGGTTCCAGCGGCTGTTCTCGCCCGGCATCCGCTCGAAGGTGCACCGGAACCTCCAGTTTCCAAATTTTAGGATTGCGAGCTTCGGGGTGTTTAGAGTTTTCGGGCTTTGGGAGCTCCGACCCTCAACTCCTCAGCCGTGGCTTCGAGCCTCTCTTGCTTGCAGAGGTTGCCGAAGTCCACGGAGCCGCCATCTTGCAGAACGAAGATCGGCGACTCCGGATAGAACTGCCTGATCAGCTACCGGTGATTTGGGTTTCCCCTGTACCGGCAGGGCAGGCTAGGGACGTGAACATGCGATGTCATGTCACGTGCCATGCAGATCATGATGCAACGGTCAGTCAACCCTACCGAGATATCACAGCCATGACCACAGCAAAGCAATGTAACACCAACAAACAAGACAGGCAATTTTACATGTATATAAGATAAGCGTAATGTAGAAGCTTAAACAATTGCCAATGTTCACTCCTTAGGGTTCCTTTAAATAATTATAGTATTAAGGGGCCCAAAACTCTATTCTACTTATTCAGGCCCCTACAGTACATCAACACATCCTTTGGCCTCGCAGAGCGGATCACCTCCACGACACCTTCCACTTGGTCGTGGACGGGGAAGTAGAAGCCGACCTACCAACTGCCAGCATCTCGAGGTCTAAGGGCACAACAAGGGCCACTGCAAGGGTTCTTAGAAAGGTGCTGAAAGAGTACTATCAGGGGTTATTATAAGGGTGTCAAGTTAGGTGCTTCCACACTTTGCCGTCCGGATGTACCCCAAACTTGTCAATATTCTCGCATTACAACAACAAACACCATCATAGGACGACGGACGACAATGCTGCTTGAATTCGTGAAAAACAAACACGATAAACACGACTGCAACATACTATAACTATAACATACTTCCACGAAGCTCGGAAAACACCATCTCTACTATCTTGCTCTGTGCTCCTCCACATCCCGAGCTTGAAGAGAGCCCCCAGAATCCACGGAGATGGATCGAGCCGAGGTCAAGCTCCTTCTTGGCGCAAGGCCTACGTAAAGTGTGGTTTAAGGATTACGGCCTGAGCTTGAGAGCTTGGGGATGAAGGTGTTTCATGCTCGTGGGTGTGGGGGCATCATCTGTTAAGGCTGTACACCGAACAGGGATTAGTGGCATCTAGAATTTCGCGGGCTAAAGTGTGGCCAATGCAAGTCGCATGGACAACTGGTGCTCCGACTTGATGCTCTCAACTGCCACCACAGCACGTCTGCGCTCACAGGTTGGTCACAGTTCTTGCTGCTTTGTCGTCAGGCGCAGGCCATGCACACACATGCTGTCTCAGCGTGTGTACTTCCACTTTGCCATCGCGACGGTCATGCCTCTCCCCGGATTGAAGCTTTTTGCACCATCTCAGCAGACCGCAATCAAGCCTTCACGAACATTCAGTCTCGAAGTCTTCAAAGCAGCCTTTTCCAACACTGTTCTGCTGTGACTTCATCACGGGCACGAACCAGGAATCTATCAAGATGGAGACTGCTGTGCAACAAAACCACGATTTCATGTGCAACTAGTGCCCTTAATTACCAGCAAAGCTGATACCAATACTGATGTTGGAACTGCCCAACCATGCAGCCGCAAACACCATACTGGACAGTATTCGCATGACTACGAGTAGCTGTCATAAACATTGTGATCATGACTGTTACTTGTTACTATTATTATTATCATCATTATGTTTGCTGTTATGATGCATATCAATAGTAATAGTAGCAGTAGTAGCAGCAGCAGCAGAAGCAGCAGTAGTAGTAGTAGTAGTAGCAGCAGCGGCAGTAGTAATCGTAGTCTTATTGTTATTGACATGATTAATCAATAAGAAGAGCTATTAGCAGTAGTATATGCACTACGAGCAAAGTTTTCGTAAATGTTGTTGCCCCTAAACCCGATGAGTCCTCTGCTGCATCAATTGGCTTTTGAGGCACTCCTCAGGGTCCGTGCCCGGCCTCGACAGTCTCAATGCACGTTTAATTTTAGGGTTTAGGTTTAAGGATGTTTGGGGGTAAGGATTGGGTTCAAAGGCAAAGGGCTTGAAAAAACGTGCATCAGGAGAAGAACGGCTTCTCTCGTCTCTGAAGCACTTGACAAGTGATTGTGGCATGTGACACGGTCCGAAAACCGGAGCCCCAACAGACAAAACCTCAATCCAAAAGCCCTGTGCCATGTACCTGTGTCCTACCTGAAACCTCTATAAGCCCGAAGCCTGCTCCCTCAGCACCAGGGTGCAGAGCCGAAAGTGCCGAGCATTTTCGAAGCTTCGACTTTCAGAGGAGAGGGAGAGGTGCACGGGCTGTGTAAAGGATCCCGGTTCGGCCGGGCCCACCCCCCTCCCACCCAATGGTTTCCCCGCCCCCCTTTTCTTCCTTCGGGATCTGGGTCTGCCTTGAGTCCCGCCGTGTGGCGTGGTATGGTTCGGGGTTTGGGTCTGCTCTCAGTACCTCCGCCCCCTTTGTGGTGTGGAGTGGTTCGCGGTGCGGGTCGCCCTGGGTGTTTCGAAATCGTCATCATCATCATCATCACTCTTCTTCCGTCTGCACCTTGAAGAAATGTCTGGCCGTTCATTTCGGTTAAGAGACTGAAGTTGAAGATGCGAAATGTCGTCTCGGAGCAGCTTGCTTTCGAAGCTGCTGTCAAGCGTTCGTCAAGGACATTATCTTGGCCGGTGCTCCCCGGTTATGCCTAGCTGCTGTAGCTTTGAAGCAGCAATGCTGATCAGGCGATGCAGTCTTTACGTCGCCCAGCCTTCAGCCAAAGCCGCTGCTTCAATGTGAAACTTTAGTGATCTCACACCACGAACGATGCCCAGTAGACAAATCCTCGCTCCAGACGGTGGCGTGATGTCGTAGGATTACCGCCAATTCTGCAACAAGCAACACTTCAAAAACATGTCAAAACACTGCAACCCTGTTGCCCAGAATCTCCTCAGCATCCATCGCGGTTTCGCCGGTCAGGAACCTTGCAGTTTGGGCTGCTGCATCCGAATCCCACACGACTGTATGCTTGCAATCTGGTGGAAGGTGCTTGGGTCTTGTACAATGCCCTGCACTTGTTGTGTAATGACCTTCGCTAAACATGCCTTTCCTTTCGCGAAAACACTGCCGTACATCTTAAACCGCTTTTATAGCTCAGGACACTGACCTTTGCATCAGCCAGGGCTCCGGCCAAAAGGATGGACGCACTTCCACCAGGACAAATTGCACCTGGCAGTGCAGATCTTCAACCTTGCATCCTCACTGAACCGCCTTTTAAACTCCCCCAAAAACCCGATAAGCACTGAAGCCCTGCCACTACAGGCGGCACCTCCGGACCAACCTTGCCCACATTGAATTCCGGGCGCAAGTAGACGGCACTCCACTGCTTGTTCGCAAAAAGGCCTGGCCTCTTGTCGAACATAGGTGTCGCATCGCGGCCGGCCCAGGGCAAGATGGAGTTGCACTGCTCCGGGTGGTTCCTCAGCAGGTCCGTCAAGTCCTAGATCTCGCCGCATATCTCCATCCAGCAGTCGTGCGGCTTATTGTGTTGGGCCAACTCCGACGAAGGGAAGTCGCTGCTCGTCCAGCCCATGGGCACTTCGTACTTGTGCTCATCGTCCGGCAGGTGCGCTTGGGGCAGTTGAGGGCTGAAGGGACAGGCTGCACGCACAAAATTGAAACCCCCGAACCGTGAAACTGCAGCGCGAACAGGGCGGAATCGTATGTATTCAGCACTGAACATTGCATTGAAACCTGACGCCCACACAGCCCAGAATAAACCCTGAACGGCTTATATCTGTGGTTCACGGCCTATAAAGTTCGGACTTTAGAAGCCTTGCGAGCAAGACCTCAAGCCCGAAAGCCCAGACCTCGAATCCTCAGCTCCATTCCCTTCTTGGGTCAACTGCCACAGGAAGCGGGTCCGACAGGAACGCCTCCTGGTGACAGTTGCATTTTCAATACCCTTATGGCAGAGTCCTGGGTGCGCAATGTCCATTGTCACAAGATGGGGTGTGTTTGGGACAAGATCCTCGTGACAGTTGATGGCCTTGGAGCTGCAACGTGGGAGAAGTACGCACAGTCACAGGGATTCGGCATATTTAATTGGACCTGGGCGTGGAGGGGATACCATGGGGGGGGTCGGCGAACCGAGAACCGGGATCATATATACGAGGTAACACGGTAGAGGCCCAATCCAACATCTGCAAAGCCTGCACTCAAGACCCCAAAAGGTCCGCAGATGCTGAACCCCAAGCCCAGAATGCAGACCACAAGAGGCCTTGTCGGCTTGTGGTGCACCCTCACGCGTCCACAGTTGAAGCCTCGCCGGCACTGAAAGCTCGTCTGGTAGTTCCACACGCACTTGTCCACCTCCGGGCCGGGGGGCAGGGAGGCGGTTGGGCTTCTTGTATAGGGTGTTGAGGGTTTCATAGGGGTTTTGTGCCCCGTGAAGCCAACTTGTTCATAAACCTTCGACCTTTCGAAGGACCGCACGACAAGAGCCTTAATACTCACAGTAGAATGTCGGACTGTAGTAAGATCGTATAGGGATATTTTATAGAACTATAATTGGCTGGTATCCCGACCAGCAGCCATGCTGGAACTTCGTCCTACCATGCTCCATGATACAGCTTCTCCAAAGTGAGGGAAGCTTACGAAGCCCGGGCAGCGGACGAGACTCCAGCAAACTTCGTGGAGTTTCTGGGGAAAGCGGAACGGGGCACCGCTTGTCGAGTTTAGGGTTTAGGCTTTATGGGCTTAGAGTTTTGGGGTTTAGAGGGTATCGAGCTGCAAAGACAGATGGCGCAAGGATCTTTTGTCATGATTCATGTTCACACGGCCCTCGAATACAAGATTGGATAGCACTCTTCCTTTCTCATCCCTATCTATTCACTCGTAGTAGGAGAAGCCCAAAAACCTAGACCATTTTGTAGGTCTAAAAATATCCCTCAAACAAAAAACTAACCCTAAATGCTCATCGCCTTCATAACCTGGCCCGCTCCGAACTGCAAAACGGTAAACCCCAAACCCTAAGCCTAAGGCACCCAGAGCACAAACAGGCTGCAGGACACCCCCCCAAACCCCGCGTCGTTGCGGCTCATCCATGCCCCTAAATCAGCCCTGTAAGGCCTCCCAAGCAACAACAATCACGACTGATATAGGCCCTACTGAAATCTACCCTAAACTAAACCCTGCATCCAAAAAACCGACACCCCAAACCCGAAATCCACCCTCTTTCACTTCCGACTCAGTCGCGCTGCCACCTGCGCGGAGGTCCACTTCCTGCCCAACCGTGCCATCATCGCCCTGCAGGGCTGCACCATTCTTGGGCCGGGTTCGGTGCAGCGGTTTAGGATGCAGGGTCTGGAATCGGGCAGTGGAACAAATGGGCTTACGGCTTAAAAAGCAGGGCTCAAAGTGCATATTCAGGGCACATAAGACAGCACGACCCCACAATGATAAGAATAGGGCTTGGGGTATATGACACTATAACCACAAACAAGAACCCCAAGGAATGGTCCCGTGAGGCACCTCAAGGACGAGCTCCGCTTGTAGAAGAGAGTGTGGAAAAAACCCTGGCCGCACTCGCCGCCAACGTAGTAGCCGCCACTTGGCCGCCAGCCCTCGTTGGCCCAACCAGTTAGCTGGGAGAAGTCCGCTTCCTTCCTCGCCAAACTCAACGAATGTGGGGGGGCCTGAATAACTAGCACCTAGAACAGGGTTTGCGGTGTTATTATCGTAGCCCCCCTTACGTTACAACCCTTTCTATGAGAATAGCAGGACAGCTTGGAAGTGCGACGCTGAAACCTGGGTACACAAAACTGGCGCATACGCCAGGCCGCGCAAAATCCACTGCCGCTTGCAACAAGGCTTTGTGGGGCTGCAGCGCGAAGAACCCAACATTCAGTGCTTCCCCAATGCCACCGTTGGTGGACAAGAAGTGACCTCCAGCGAAGACAATCCCTATGTGCGGCGTTGCAACATCCGCAAGGAAACACAATCGTAAACGGCAGAATCCGTTAGGCAGACAACAGCATGACAAACAAACCCAGGCCTGTCGATGCACATCTCAACAGCGGCGTGATGTCGCCTTGGAACTCAATGTCATTGTCGAAGTACGCAACGGCATCATACTCGTCGAGTCCTTTCACACACTCTCCGGCATCACTCAATCTGGGAACCACCAAATTATCTCGGAACGCTTCGTTTTTGACAAGTTCGTTTCAACAACTTCAGGAGCTGAACATGGAGATCGCTCCCTCGCTCTCCAACTGTCCTAGGGCATGGAGCCGGATGAAGTCCTTCTGGCCACACCAGTTCTCCTCCTGGCTCTTCAGACTTTGAGAGCAAAGGACAGCGGGCCTGAGAGTTATAATAGAGAGAGGCTGGGGCGACGGCGAGGTACCAGGACAGAGGCCTGGAGTGCTCGAGGCATCGTTCGGGAGTTCCCACTTCAACACGGAGCTTTTGCAAACCAAGCACTCACTCTCAACATAGAGGGTCTGAAGATGACAGGCTGAAATATGCGGCGCGACTACCTTTGCCCCAAGCGATTGCTCGGGATTGCTGTGCGACATCTATAGGATACTATAGGATGCCAAACTGATGGATCAGGAAACCGGTAGACCTGAACCCCGCATTCGCTGTCGGGCTTGTTGCCTTCGTGAAGCGCATCCCAGGGGGCAGGGACCAGTCCACGGTGCGTACCTGAATACCTCCACGCGGGCATTGGGTGTAGGGTTTACGGTTTACGGGCACCTCCGGGCTCGTATCGAACTAGTAGCAGTACCAAAGACTCGTGATGCCAGAAACTTTCGGTAGCAGCAGCAGCGCGGAAGCAGCAGCAACAGCTAAGGCACTAGTGTCAGTGGTAGTGGCCGGTAGAACACTGGAAGTAGTGAAACAACAGGGAGACTTCTAGTCAAAGCTGAACAGAACTTGTCGCGATTTGTCTCTCAGCTGCTGCACAGTCACAAAACGCCTGACTTGCACCAACCATGCACAACATCCATCCTTGATGTAGATCCCGTGACTACCTCAACCCCAAAACATGGTGCTGCAATAGGCAGGTCGTAACAATGAAACAGCTTCCATTGTAGTATTGATCACAAGGGTGGCTGCTGATAGGGCTGTCAAGCATCCCCACAAGAAAAAACAGCACACCTGATATGGATCAATCAACATCAAGTCAAAATCAAAAGTCACACGAGCAAGACTGGCAACTCGTGCTATTCAAGCGCGCCACTCATTGTCGTAAGGGTTCTGATACACACTACGCCAGTGCATACTAGTTCCATCAATATGCCACAGTCCTGATATTGCTAATCAAGATGCCAAAATAACAATGCAACGAAAGAAATAACCATGGGAACCCAAGTGAAACGGTGCAACGTGCCCAGCCACAAGAATAGCTCCCAGAACCAGAACCAGCGGGAGTTGGAGATGTCACCTAAAAGCCTTCTCAACTGATCGCTGCACACCGAACAGACCCTACACTTGGTCACCTCCACCCCTAGGTTTCCTGTGCAGCCCTACCTTCTTTCTCCAAGTTGGCCCTCAACGCCGCAGTCATGGAGGCCGCATCCGTCTCTGTCATAAGGAGCAGAAGGTCGGCCTCTATCATATTACATCGTCTTATAATGTACTGTCACCGGGTCTACAGCTTTGCGGTTCCCGTGAGCTTCAAAAGGCCAGCTCGCCTTGATTTAGAAATCCGGTCTGTCTTTGATGGGCGAAAGGCACACGAAGATGGGTAGTAGGGTTCATGTTGCTACGGCAACGGTGCAGAAGTTCTCTGCACATGTGATCTCAAGTGGGTCGCAGTCGGCACCTTGTTTGCAGACAGCGCAGCTGCTTTTGCAGAGTCCAAATACTGCAGCACTTTCGGTACGAACTTCCCCACGTACGAGAAGATCAGGGCATACCTTTGCCGAAAAGCTTCGTGGGGGAGGGGACTCTACACTATTCCCGTCTGCTCTGGGTCGTGTTGAGGAGGCTCAACATATCGGCTCCCAGTATAGGCTTCCACACAAGCCCATTTCTTCCATGCCTTCTACCTCCCAAGACTGACATCTTCGTCAATGACAGCTTCGGCTTCAGAAACTTCTTCGGACTTTCAAGGGCTGGGGCATTAGCAGCAACGATTCAGCCGATTAGGATTCAGTCTCGGGTTTAGGACTTCGACGAAGCATACGGACGAAGCATATGAAGCATGCGCCTCCCGGTGGGCGGCGCTGTTGCAGCACAGGCCTCCATCTTTGCTGATTATTTGTTATTTAAGGCGAACCTCCAAGAAGATTTTCGTGACGAAGCAATTGCCAACAACATGGATACGGGCTACTATCAACTGCAGCTCTCAAATATCTCATGAAGTCTGCCGAACAACAAACAATATATGTCCTCTCGAAGTCTTTCCTGGTTCCGTTCCCGGTTTTGTCTACTTCCGTTGACTCATTCGTATTCATTCAATCATGTTCATGTGGAGGAGTTCATGCACTCCTGAACCCTCGCGAATAGCCATGAGCATGAAATGGTTTTCATTGGAGCTGACGATTGCTCATGCTTGGAAACCTACTTGCATTCCGAAAGAATGGTATACTCTGAACCTTCCACACATGCTGGACAGTATGAGCTTGCACGCCTGGCGAGCAAAATGAACAGCACACAAGCTCAGAGTCCCGACTCTCTTTCTGTCCATGTTGCACCTGCGTACAAGTATTATCTCCGTGCATGCCTGCCACTACTGCACAATCATACACTTGCAATCTTTTATAAGCATGCATGCATGCATGCTGCAAGTGTCTGTTCGTTCATTCACTCTTTTGTTCTGCCATTCATTTCTCGAGTGATTCTGTGAGTCAGCGAGAGTAAGTCTGTCACTGGCTCACTCACTCACTCACACGGTCCGCGAAGACCCGAAAGTAACACCATTCCAATCCGCAACAAAACCACCTCTGTGCCCTCCCCTCCTCCCTGCCCGGCCTCTACGTTCAGGCATGGCACGTAAGCCTTGCCGTCATTGCAGCAGTCCCTGCAAGCGCTTGGCGATTCAACCAGCTCCTCCCGACAGATCCGAAAGCATGCCATGGGGATTAGGGTTGTTTAGGGTTTAGGGTTCTGGGGTTCTGCAGGGTTTAGGGCTATTTAGGCTTCGGGGTTACTTAGGGTTTCGGATTGATTTAGGTTCAGGGCTTTACCTTATTTAGGGGTTTAGGGCTTTAGGGTGTAGGAAGTTTTGGGGTTTAGGGTTGTTTAGAGTTAAGCCTTAAACGACGGAGGGAGCTTGATGCCTTGACGGTTTTGGGACGTGCGGGTGGCAGCTTTGCGTGTGAGGCTGGCCTGAGGCTCGGTTTTAGGGCCTAGGGTTTAGGGATTCGGGTTTAGGGTTTAGGGCTGAGGGCTTAGGGTTTCGGGATGATCGACTGACTAATACGCCCTTTTTGGATTTTGTGGGGCAACGCAGCTGAAGCCCCAATCCTACCTGCTCGGCCCACTTCTCATGGGCTGCTGCTGCTCCTTCGGCTAGCACCTGACGAATGGAGATGTGCAAAACGCTACGTTCGAACTTGCACTCATTGGTGGCAGACGAAGACATGGTGTCGATCAATCCTCAGGACCATCGCAGAAGTCGTAGCACTACAAATATCTCAGACGCGAGAAGCCAGAAGCCGCAGTTAGAACACAAGCACAACGACTACTTCGCACGAAGGCAACAGAGATGCTCAAAGTACTTGTCATATATTCTCTGAACGAGGCAACATAACTCGCAGCAAGAGCAAAGTAACAATGCCGGCAGCGTCGATCGCGACAGCAACAACAAACATCGATTGCTGCAACGGCAGAAGCCCTGCCTCATGGCGAATCAAGGACGGCCGCGGGCCAGCCCCGAGGGCAGTTGACCCCGGCAGGAGCCACAGAAACGCCCCAAGGCGGCGCATGATTCCTGCCCGTAAGGCTGACTAGGGTCATCGTCTTGCAAAGAGAGTGATGATGAAGCTTCGGGAGCTGCCTCGAGTTTCTCAGGTATGCAGCGGCTGGCACAGGGGGAAACCGCTGCCTACAGAGCCGGGAAGGCTTCTCTCCAGGACGGGCACTGCAAACGAAGGTGAGATCTTCCACGCAGCAGGATACCACTTGACGGACCCCTCAAGATGCGACCAAGGCACATTATGAAGGCTCCTGACTTAGACAGGGCGCAGAGGCTCAGCACCCTCGGGCACCAAAATGGCCGCGGCAAAAAAGAGGCTCACAGCATATTCACTTCAAGCTCCAGGCGTGGGCTTTGAGTTGGCCATCAGCATCAATCCTCAAACCCAAAACCCAAAACCCTGAAAACTACATCCTAAAACCTAAACTCAAAAAAACAAACCCTAAACACTAAACGGTAAAGGAACATCCGTCATGACCCGGATCTGACATGAAACACACTGCCGACCTTCTTGTGAGACGTCCTATGCCCCGGAAGTCTTGTTGCCCTAGCCACCTAGTCATCGGCATTCAAATCTCTATATATATATATATGTATATATGTATGTATGTATGTATGTATGTATGTATATATATATATATAGAGATATAGATACACACAGGTGCATATAATATACATATATATATATGTGTGTGTGTGCGTGTGTATTTATACGTTTCCATATGCATGTATGTAGTTATGCATTGATGCAACAATGTTCCGAACTCTAAACCCAAAACTCTGAACCCTAAGCTGGATGGCTGGACCATGAACATCCTAACCTTCATTCTTCGGAGAGTCCCCTGGCCAGAGGAAACAGGAAGATACCAAAACTTCTGCAGATGCACTGCAGAAAGGCTGAGAACAGAAGAATCCCGAATTCCCAAATCCCTCAACCCAAAGCCCCACACGGCCAAAAACTCCAAAGCCACAGGGCCACAGATCCTCGGGCCCCCCAAAACCCTAGATAAACCCAAAAAAGAGGGACTCTCCTTGGGCCCCTCTCCGCTAAACCCTAACCCTAAAACCCTCAGCCTCCCGGGAGGCATCCTCCTCGGCGGAGAGCACGTCGAAGCCAAGGCTTTGCAGCCTCTGGGCTTCCGCCTGAAGAGGGCTTTCGGGGCTTTCGGGGCTTTCTGGGCTTTCGAGGCTTTCTGGGTTTGGGGGGCTAAAGAAGGGTTCAGGGATGTTTGGGGCTTAGGGCTTCGGGCTTCGAGGTTAGGGTTTAAGGCTTAGGGTGTGGGGGCTTACAGTGGAGGGCCCAACAGTGCGCTTTGATTATGGCTGCTTATCTGGTCTGCTCGTGTCTGACGAGGATTCGAGCTTAAGGATCACACAAAGGTACAGTAGCAAATGGTTCATTTTTTCAAGTTGCAAGTTGAAGCATGACAACCTCGGGAGGTCCCATACATCCTCCTTGCGCTTTTAGGCTCCTGGCTTGAGTTTAGGATAAGAGCTAGCATACCACCTTGCACCGAATGTCGGTACGTCTTTACACCATCTGCACGACGTATGCACATGGAAAACACAGCTATGTATGCATGCACTCATGTCGGAGTCTATACATGTCCGAATACAGGCAGTAAACCACAGGGAGGAAGAGAGCAGCGATCCTCAAGTTGGCACGAATATGAGAACCTGCACCTGTGAACGCAGAGGACCCACCCTGTCAGGTTCACCACGGCCCCTGAGAACTTCTCCTGTCGCCTCCACGAAACTGGCGATGGAGTCGCTCAGTTCTGAGAAGTTCTTCTCCTGTCACTCGGAATAGCTCATTTTCACCAGCGATTGTAAAAGGGCGCCGGTTCCCTTTTCTTCTGGCTATCTACGTCTACGTCACCCTGACATTTTCATGACCGCGAGCCGACATTTTGGCTAGAGGTCTGAGTACGGCTCTTGTCTGCACTACCAGCTCTTCCGTGAATGAGACCACTACGGCGTCACCAATGAATTCTGCGAGACAATAGCATAGTTACAAGTAGTAATGCCTTTGTCTGACGCGATGCTCTTGCTCACTACGGCTACCGTGAGTACGAGGAGAACCGGAACCTCCAGAATTCCTCATCGCCACGACTACTCTGATTTTTCTGATGCATCTCGCTATCTGCTGCTCCGTCGCTGATCCAATGCGACTCATATTGCAGGTATCCGATTCCGCACTTCCCTGCCGCAGCAAGCCTCGCAAATAGCCTGGTGTTAGCAAGCAGCAAGAACTGTACCTATGCTAGCAATCGCAAAAGCACACTTTGTCTTTGAAAACGGCTCCTACGAGGAGTAGCAGAAAAGAACGCAGGTATAGATGTGTGTCGCATTTCTGGAAATGTGATTCATTGCAATGATAGTGTGAATGACAGAATACCCGCCGCAATCTGCTCGACTCGAGAACCTGATGGAGGAACATCCCTGTCAGCCCTTTCCCTGCCATCTGCATTGAAACAAGCGCATGTATCATGCACACGACTCTTCAAGGCCAAGGGCCTTGATGATGATTTTGTCCCGCTGAGAAGCCAACTCCGTAGCGACGGCATCCAACCTTCGCTAGCCGTGCTTGGACATCGTGGTCATCGCCATTGCAGTCACCATGGTAGCGGCAGTAGCAGTAGCAGTGGCAGTAGCAGTAGCACTCCTAGAGGTAGCAGTAGCAATAGCAGCAGCATTAGGCAGAGGAGGAGGAGGAGGAGTCGAACTAGTAGTTGCTCCTGTCGTCGTCGGTGTCGTAGTCGTCGTCGTTGTAGTAATATTTTGGTGGTGGTAGTAGTAGTAGTAGTAGTAGTAGCAGTAGCAGTAGTAGTAGTAGTAGTAGTAGTAGTAGGAGTAGGAGTAGGAGTAGGAGTAGCAGTAGCGGTAGCGGTAGCGGTAGCGGTAGCGGTAGCGGTAGCGGTAGCGGTAGCGGTAGCGGTAGCAGTAGCAGTAGCAGCAGGAGGAGGAGGAGTAAGTAGCAGTAGTAGTAGCATAACTGACTGTTGCTGTTGCTGTTGTTGTTGTTGTAGCTGTACGAGTACGTACCAGTAGTCGCACTAGCACAAGTCTGTTTGGTAGTACTGGTACGTGTCCCCGTTAGTAGCGGCTCAGGTAGTGGATCTAGTTATGGTACGGCGATTGTAGTACCAGCAATATATTGGCTGACCAGAGTCTCAAAATGAGAGAAGCCCAAGCCATCCGCGGAAGAATAAGTGCACCAATATCAATCAAAGAAAGCGGCTGGCAGGTTTGCGCAGAGATGAAGGTCTGCACGACCTGCGGCTGATGGCCCTAAGAAGACTCACGACCCTGAATAGCTTGTATTGCGCAAGCTGGATCCCACCGTATCCCCAGGCTGGAAATTCGGCCTGGCAGGGCGCTTTGAACAGATGCCGCGAACCTCGTCGATTGTGACGTGGAGGCGCTGCAGGTCCTGGTAAGGCTTGCATAGACGACGTCTGCAGTCAGTGGTGAAGGGCCAGCTGAGCACACACACCCTACGAAGACAGCCGAGCCTGCGCCACCGATAACGAAACCTTTTCTGGTGCCACCGAGTCGGTCCTGCCGCCACACATCCAAGTCCAAAGAGCTCAACCTGCGAGTCCGTGCTCAATTGTTGGTCGGTTTATCGGCAAAGCCTTGCTACAACCCCGACGTCATGGCAGTGAGCTTCTTCATTGCTCGCATACCAGACCCCGCTGTCACAAGAAACGCACCAGTGTTCAATGATCTTTGCAGAGGCTGCTCATTGGATCGCTGCCGTTCCACTGCTGCAGTATGGTTCAGACACGTGCAAAAGAATCCAAACGGACAAGCGACCAAGAGTTCTCGGAACCAGGAAAGACATGCATCACCGCAACGTTTAAAAAGCTAGCGAACAATTCACTACATTTCCATGCCATTGAGGATGGAGTCTTCGTTTTACGTGAAACCTGGCTCCATGCGCACTGCACTGTCAGCTGCTTAAGAATACATCTCAACATGCGAAGCCCAGTGTTCACGACTATTCTGGCTTGTCCGTGCACAAGTAAAAAGCGTGCCTGCGACGACTTCATGTGTTTATGTCAGTTTGTGCGCCTGTGAGATGAGCACAGCGGTGTTTGCATCCTGAAGGGACGTCTGCATTCACATCGGGCCCAACCTTCGTTCGCTGCAACCAGTTGGATCCAGCCACGGTTCCTGGCGACAACCGAGAGCACGATCGAAAGAATAAAACGTGCTGCATTCCTCTGGAGGTTACTCCGAACAGCTGTGAGAAAACATTTGCCAAAGAATCCCACCTTGCTTCGCTCCATGTGTGCGGAAGCACCGGGAACTGTATCAGTAAGTGTGCAGCATGTTTGAAGAGCGTGTTGTTTGGCACACATCCAGAAAGCTTTTCCATTCTGACAAGCTTAAACCAAACAACTTCCAACACTTGTGCATGCTCGTGTCATCTGCTGATCTAATGCTCAGAGGTTTTAAAAGCTGGCAAACTGTCCTATCCGTCCCTTGCCCTTGCCTTTTCTTTGCTTTCACCGCTCGCGCATGCACCGAAATCTGCAGCGGAGTTCTGAGTTAGAATCATTGCCTCGCAATGTCATTTTACATACAGCAGCCGTATGTACGATGCTGTACTTTTGTTTGAAGCGGTGGCGTACTGTGCTGTGGATGATGACCGAAACTGCTCACAACTCACTCTTTATCGTGCAATCTGCCACAAGCCCCAAGCGCTAAAACCCATGCATGGCCGCTTCGTGCTTTGCGGCTGAAGTCGAAGCAATTCCTGCACACTCAAAAAATTTGTGTAAACCAATATTGGTCGCTTGCGATAGATCTGGACAGGCGTCATCTTGCGTGAATAACATTGTCCAAATTGTGCAACTGCTTGAAGAAAGATAATACTTGAGTGTTTGCCCGCACAGTAGCTCGCTATTGTTTCTTCCAGCATGTCTTTGCCTCTGCTGCAATCTCCTTCTCAATATTTCCATGTTGGCAGCGGTTTTTTTGCAAGGATGCAACGCAAACTTC